AAAAAATATACAAAAGAAGAGAGTCAAAAAAGTTAAAACAATTAGCATGAATGACTTATCTTGATTGGTTTCAATGAATTTGATCTAAGGGGAGATCATATTAAAAGTTATTATTTCATTTCATTTCTTTTTTGTTTTCCTTTTAAAGGATCAAGAATGCAAAATAGAATATCTTCATTAGAACTCAAATAGATTATTTAAATTAAGAATACACCTGTAAAAATTACAATAATACTTTAAATTTAGTAAACTTATTTAATTCAAGCAATAAACAGTTCTAATCTAAAATCTAATAGAAATTTTTTAATAATTTATTTGGTATAGTTCTTGTATAAAAAACTATATTATAAAGTATATATGATGATTTTTTAGATTATACAATTAAATTCTCTTTTCCTTATTACAAAATATAAATTTTATCTATCAATTTATTTTTTTTAACTATTAAATTTAAATTGTAAAAATTTTAATGAGATCATTTAGTTTCTTTATAATTTTAATAAAATGATCTTACATATAATTTTACTATTGATTTTTCTATCGTATTCTATTTTTGGACTTTAGTTGACCAACAATTTATATTTAATTAATTTTTTTATTAAAATTATATTATAATTTTTATGATTGAAACATGAAGTAAAAGTTCTTTTTGAATTAACTAAGCAAAATCGTTAGAAAAATATATTGTGAAATTTATATTTAAAAAAGAATAGAGAACAATTAAAATATGAATCAAACAAAAAATGGAACTAATGGACTTTATGTTTTCATCAATATTTATTACATCTAAATATTTTATTTTTATACCATATTCTACAATTACTAATACTATTAACATAGACTCTGATACTTTTAAGTTAAAACAACATTCTCTTGAAATAAATTTGACACTTAACCTTAATATAATAAATTCTAAAATAACTCTTTAAATTTACCTGATTTGTGAGTTATTGAATAATAAGAAGTTATTATTTGTTTTTGTCTTCTAAGACTGAAATAGGTTGTTTTATCATTTATTAAGCAATTTTATCTATCTAATTCTTTTATTCATTTTCTTCTTCAAGACCTAGATTAGGATAAATATATTATATTACTTTAGTCTTTGGTTACTACTTAGTGTCTTTTTAACATTTAACTTTGTCTTTTTTTGTTCTTACGAATGACTTTTTTACAAGATCTTCCTTCCTTCTTGAAAATCTACATGATGGCCTTGGCAGTTGAGAAGTTGATACCAAGTAATTACGCTGCACTTTTTATTGTGCATCCAGTTGATGTGACTTATTTGATCAAACCCTCTCTCTAATCGTTATTTATTTTTGCATATTTGAGTCCATGTTTACCTGATTTAAAACTTAAATATTATTGTACCTCTTCTTCTTTTTGTCATCTCTTGTTCATTTGATGATTAAATCAATAATTTCTTACATTCCTACTCTTGCTCTGCTAAACTGAAAGAGGAGTCTGAGTCATTATTACTATGTGAGCCTTGTCTGGAGCAAATTTCTTAATCATCCACATAAGAGGAATGGTGTGAATTAAGTATTTGACACTACTAGATTTATCCTTTTGGATCCATATTTTACATACAAATCAATTTTAAATTAAATCAAACTAAATTATGAGATATATTAAGTGATGAATTAAATTGAGACGACGTCATTGTAATAATTATGTCTCTATTAAGAATATATTAATTTTTATTACACAAACAACTGTTTTTATTACATTAACATCATTAAAATGAATATTTCATCATAATATTTTGATAATCTATAGAATTCTAAAATTAGTGATAGCCATTGTTATAAAATTCAGTTAGTCAATATTTTTATAAAATTTATTTGAGATTAACTATTACTATAATGAAACATAAATGAAACAACATAGATGATTAAATAAGGCACACTTATTTTTTAAAAAGATGCAATTATTAATTATTCATTATAAATCAAATTTTTAGCCTATTTTTTTTTATTATATATATTTTGGGTGCTCTATTCATTTTTCTACATTAAATGAATTATATATACAATAGAAGTAATAAATAGTTGGAAATATTAAAAAATTAAGTAATAATTAAGATTGATTTCATTCATTATTAATTATTTAATGTATGATTATTAATAATTTAAATTACAAAAATTTTTTAAGAATATTAATAAAATTGATTAATTTATATATATATATATATATATATATATATATATATATATATAT